AACAAAGCACAAATTAGGATAGATTCAGAATCATACTGTGTGTGAGAGATGGAACCTGGCCTAGTTTCCTGCTCCATGTGGCATTAGTCCTGCCCACCCAGCTGTCTCCTGACACAGCCCCCAGCATTACCTGTCTACCACTCCCCTCTGAGCACCACCCCCTCCCCTGGCCCCCTCAAAGCTGGGCTCCCTGAGGCTCAGCATGTGGCAGAACTTGTTCTCGGGATCCATTGAGATCCGTGTGTGGCCTTCTTAGAGGTCCCTACTCTGCCACTGTGACTTCCCTTGTCTTAAGGCTTGCTGGCCTTGAGAAAGCAGAGTTGAGTGCTTTCCTCTTTATCCCAGTTCAGCCAGTGCCCAAGCCCAGAATCACACTGGGCCTCTGTGACAGCCTCCACTAGTTCTTCCTGATGCCACCCAACCCTGCCAGTCCATCCTCTGAGGTGCCGAGGCAGCTGCTCCTTGGCTCAGACCCTGCCCATCACTTCAGGAAGTCTGCAGAGTCAGAATGGCTAACATGAGCAATAAACATCAGCTGAGCACATACTGGGTACAGGCACGGGCAGTGAGCATCACAAGCAATATGTCCATTCCCTCCTCCTAGCTGCCCCGTGAGTTGTTTTTTTCATAGCAGTTTCACAATGAGGAAACTGAGGCTTTGAGAAATGAACTAACTTGCCCACATTTCCCCAGCTGTGAAGCAGCAAATCCAGGTCTATTCATCTGACTCAGAGGTCATGTCCATAAAGCATTAAGCTGTCTTTCAAAGATGTTTATAAATTGGTCCCAACTTTCTGGTGCAGCCTCATATTCCCTGAATTTACTCACACCCAGGCCGTTCTGGCTGCTCACTGTCACCTGAGCACACCCTATGTGGGTCCTAACTCCCTGCCTTTGCACACCCATTCCTCTTCCAGACCCTCACTTTTCCAATCCCTACCCTTCCTGAAGCCTCATTCTAAATGTCCCCTCCCCAGGAAAGATCTCTTTCCCATTTAGTGACTGTCGGAGATTTTCAACTTGCTGGAGCATGTTCATATGCCTGGTGGGCAGCAAGTTTCCTGAGACTCGAGACAGTGCCTGGTCTGTTCTTCAGCCTGGTAGAAGTGCCCTGTATGGTACGAGGTGTGCATGTTTCAGAATTCTTAAATCTTGTTCAAGCAGATGGGCAGAAGCTTCCAGAGCGGATCCTTCCTGAGCAGGACAGCTTGGAGGATAGGGTGCGTTCCCCCAGAGCTTGGCACGTGGGGCATGTGAGCATGTGCTGTGTCATTTTACCAGTCGTGGGCCCTCCCTGTGTGGGAAGCAGTGGAGAAGTTCCCTTAGGCAGAGGTGCTTTTGGGTGGTGCAAGGACTGGCTCTGAGCCCACAGCCTCTCTTCCCTTACATCTCTGGCCTTCAGAGTTGAGTGCCAACTCTTATCTGCCCCAAGTCTTTAGCCCCAAACCTGTGTGCCACCATTGCTGGTTTCCTTTCTAGAACTCAGAGGAAAACTATAAACCGCAGCTGGAAAACCTCCCACCTTCCTGCCAAAACTTGAACTTGGGAAAATCAGCTGGAAGCAATCCATGAGGATTTGGGCTGCGTCGCTGATGCCTAGGCTGAGGAGACAGGATGGAATGAGGAAGGGTCAGAGCCAGCTGTGCCTGGGAGGAACCTTCAGTCTAGGAGGGGGATAAGACACACAGGAAAGCTATGTGGAGGAAAATGGGATGAGGCCTAATTACCAGTTTCAGACCTCAGGGAAATAGGTTCTGCAAGACTGAGACTTGAAGACAGGCTTGGCACGGGTGAGGGTAGCTAGCCTAGGGAGCTGGGGCAGGAAGTGGACATGTCCGGCCGATACAAGATGGAACCCAAGCTGGTTCTTGTTCCCCCAGGAGGAGGGACACTGGTACATGTAAAGCTGAGGGACAGGGGTGGAGCGGAAGGCATAAAGTATGTGTATGTCCCCGAGTGACCAGCCTGGCTGGGTGGACAGAGGCCCGAGGAAAGGGCCAAGGAAAAGACTGAAAAACTTGGTGTTGATGGGGACAGAGAGGCACTGTGGAGGGCCTGCTGCACACAGGACTGGGGGAAGGTCAGGACAGCCCTCGCCTCCCCTCCTTCCTGCCACAGCCTCCATGCTGTGAACTGCCACCTGATCCCTTCAGGAGCACTTCCTTTCTAGGCCCAACAAAGGGCAGAAAGAGAAGGAAGGAAAGAAAGAAAGAAAGAGAATCCATTTGAACAGGAGAAACCAGCCTCCTCCCGATCTGGTTTTTTGATTTATACCCAAGACTTTAAATAGACTCTTGAAAATCCCTTGTCCATTAAAGTTGCTTTTCTTTGAAACCATGAAAGAATGTGGAGTTGAGACTTGTCTTGGGAGCAGGAAAATTCTACCTGCAACTTGTAGCATTTTCAGGATGAAAACTGCTGGCCAGGGAGTAGGAGGTCTGAGCCAGGTCTTTTTGAGATGGTGACAGCCAGGGACCAGGTAGTGTGGATCTGGGGTTAAGAAAGCAGGCACTCTGTGATAAGCCAGTTGTCTGACCTGAAGCAGATCACCAAGTCTCATGAAACCAGTTTTCTCACTCCCCAAATGAAGATGACAGTAACTGCCCTCCCTCTGGAGGCTGACTCCTTTCCTTGAGCATGGGTTTTCATATGCAAGCGGAATGGGCTAGTTGATATCTGGCTGGCTTTCTCTCACATTGGGGATTTCCAAACCAGTCACTTCAGTAGCCAAAAGAAGGGCAATTGTCACCAGAAATAAACAGCCATCAAGAGTAGAATGGCCTCCGAGAAATGCTGTCTGGTCTTTGCCCCATGATCAATGCTAGATGGTGCTCCAAGACATCTGGGAAGGGGTGAGGAGGGGTCTTTGTCTCCATCAAGTTGCTTTGAGCTTATGAGCTCAAAGACACTGATGAGCTTAGGAGATGCCAGAGACTGGAACAGGTGGTGGCTTTATAAAGAATTTAGAATAGAGCTGTAGTGTGGGGAGAAGACCAAATATCCACCCAGAGAACCAGGAATCTTCAGAGAAAGTGGCTGAACTAAACCCTTCCCTCACACCGTATACAAAATTAACTCGAAATGGATCATGGAACTAAATGTAAGAACTGAAACCATAAAATGGCTAGAGAACATAGAAGAAATTCTTTATGGCCTTGGATTTGGCAAAGATTTCCTAAATAGTACACAAAAAGTACAGTCTAAAATGATAGGCATTAATACATCAATTGATTTGAAAATTTTCAAGACTTTAAATTTTATGTTTCAAAATGAACTTCTACAAAACTGAATAGGTAAGTCACAGCCTGGGGGAAAGTCTTTGCAAAGTATACAGCCAAAAATGCTTCTAATTTCAAATACATTATATATATATATATATATATATATATATATATATATATATATATATACATACATATACATATATACACATACACACATATATGTATATATGAACATATATAATATTATATTTTTTATAATGATATATTCAAAATATAAGCCTTTTGCTGGATATTAGTTTGCAAATATAGACATGGTGCAACTCAATCATAGAAGACAAACAGGCCAACTTAATGCATGAAAAATATTTAAAGAGACACTTCAACCAAGAATGATATGGAACAATAAACAACTGCAACTCTCATAAACAGCTGGTAGGAGCCAGGCTCAGTGGCTCCTGCCTGTGATCCCAGCAACTCAGGAAGCTGAGTCAGGAGAATCACAAGTTCAAGACCAGCCTCAGTGACTTAGTGTGACCGTATCACACCACATAAAAAGAGAAAAATTGAAAGGGCTGGAGATGTAGCCCAGTGGTAGAGTATCCCTGGGTTCAATCCCTGGCACCAGCAAATAAGCAAACATCTGGTGGGGAATAAAAATGATTCAGCCACCTTGGAAAACAGTTTGGCAATCTCCTTAAAAGTTAAACATTCACCTGCCATATAAGCCAGCCATTTTATTCCTAGGTACTTACCCAAAGAAATAAACATATTCACACCAACACTTGTACATGAATATTCTTAGTAGTTCTATTTTCAATAGTCCCTAATCTAGAAACAACCAAAATACCTATTTTTTATTTATTCTTTTTAGTTATACATGACAGTAGAATTTATTTGGACATATCATACATACATGGAGTATAACTTCCCATTCTTGTGGTTGTACATGATGTGGAGTTACAGTGGTCGTGTGTTCATATATGAACATAAAAAAGTTATGTCTGACTCATTCTTTTTATTTCCTATTCCCATCCCCCCTCCTTTCCCTCCAGTTCCTTTTGTCTAATTCAATGAACTTCTATTCTTCCCTCCCCACTTATTGCGTGTTAGCATTCGCATATTATCGAGAACAATTGGCCTTTGGTTTTGAGATATTGGCTTATTTCACATGGCATGATAGTCTCATTCTTCTTTATGTGTGTGTGTATCACATTTTGTTTATCCATTCATCTATTGAAGAGCACCTAGGTTGGTTCCATAGCTTAGCTATTATGAATTGAGCTGCTATAAACATTGGTGTGGCTGCGTCACTTTGGTATGCTGATGTTAAATCTTTGAGTATATACTAAGGAGGGAGATAACTGGGTCAAATGGTATTTCCATTCCAAGTTTTCTGAGGAAGCAACCTAAATATCTATTAACAAATGAATAGATAAACAAATTGTGGCATTTGTAGGTAAATGGATGGAGTTGAGAATATCATGCTAAATATTACTTAGCAAATAAAAAAGAATAGAATGTTTACACAAACAATGGCCTGAATGACCCTTAAAATAATGTGAAATGAAAAAAGACAGACCAAAAATAGTGCACAAACCATGTAATTCTATGTACATACAATTCTAGAACATGTAAGCTAATCACTAATCCCAGCCAACAGTTGGCTGGGAGCAGAGCAGGTGGGGCAGGAGGGATGAAGGAGGATGAAGTTATGGTTATTGTCTTGACTGTGGTGATGGTTTTACAGGGGTAGACATAAGTCAAAACATCAGATCGTAGACTTTAAATAAGTGCAATTTATTGTACATCAGTTATGCCTAAATAAAGCTTTTCAAATGAAGAAGTGGGAGTGAGGAAAATAGTCTTGTCCCTTGGTGAAGATAAGCCAATGCTCAGCTCTCCTGGTTGGGGGTGTGTAGGGCCTGACAGCTCAATCTCAGTCTCCCCCATCATGTGACTCAGATGCACCTCTCCGACGTATTCCAGGTTCCTGGGAGGCAAGGGCCGTGCTTTCTGCATCATCTATTCTGTTGAGGATCCTGACAATGATGAAGCAGCTTCCAGAAGGAGCAGTGGAAGGACTAGTTTATCACTCAGCCCAGTTGTGATCACATCAGAATCAGGGGAGTGCACCCAACCATGGGGCAATAACTCCACTGTCATTCCTTCCTTGTTTGTGGAGTGTGTGGTGACTCACGCTGGGAAGACTCCCAATATGCTGAGGAACTGGCCAAGGCAGAGGGGAGATGCTGAGCCGGGCTGACTCCTGAATGAACTGAACCATTGGGGCTCACCCTTCAGGTTGAGGCTGTCAGACAAGATGGTCCTTACATATCTACAGGGTACTGTGACATCTTGGAGGCAGGAAGTCCATGCAGGGAGCCTCTCTATGTCTGATGAAGTCAGATTCTAACCTTTATCACAGTGACCTGATTAAAGTCTCCATAGTCCCGTGGTCAGACTGTCATTCTGGCTAAGGCATCCAGAGGTTGATCTCATTGCTAAGCCAAATCTGGAGCTCAGGCCAGAAGCTGTGGAGGTAATTTCTGTTGCTCAAGCATCATGAGGACCTTTCATGGTGATGGTTCCCACAGATTTATGTAAACTGAAGTGTGAACAAGGCCAACATCGCTGCTCCTGGATGATCTGTCCTCATCCCCTGTATATTATCCTTGATAGCATTAGACTTAGATAGGAAAGCTTAACTCAAAAATTCAGCTGCAACAATGGAATATTACTCAGCTTTAAATAATAATGAAATTGTGGCATTTGTAGGTAAATGGATGGAGTTGGAGAATATCATGCTAAGCGAAGTAAACCAATCCCCAAAAATCAAAGGCCAGGGCTGGAATTGTGGCTCAGTGGTAGAGAGCCTGCCTGACATGTGTGAGGCACTGGGTTCGATTCTCAGCACCATATATAAATAAATAAATAAATAAAATTAAGGTCTATCAACAACTAAAAAAATACTTCAAAAAAATCGAAGGCCAAAAGTTTTCTCTGATAAACGGATGCTGATCCATAATTGGGGGCGGGTGGGCCAAGGGAAGAATGGAGAAACTTTGGATTGGGCAGATGGGAGTAAGTGTAGGGGAGGGAGTATGGGGGGAAATGATGGTGGGATGAGACAGACATTATTACTCTGTGTATGTGTATGATTGCACGAATGGTGTGACTCTGCATTGTGTACAACCAGAAAAATGAAGTTATGTTCCATTTGTATACAATGAATCAAAATGCATTCTACTGTCATGTATAGCTAATTAGAGCAAATAAAAAAATTCATCTGCAAAATGAATATAGCTGTTGGGTTTATTACTTGTATGACAAAGGAAGTCACCTGATAGACAAGTGTCCTCAGTATTCCTTGAAGTCACACTCTCTTGTAGACATCCACAAAATAATCGGGTTTGCAGAAATCACCTGTAAGTGAATTTTAGATTGTTCTCAAGAAGCAAGAAGACTCTTCCAGTGACAGCCACCCTCTTCTCTGGGACTTACTTAAGTCCATTATCTCAGTAAGCTCACCCTGACTTTGAGAAGGGCTACACTGCAGTATAGGGCTGGAGGGTGTTCATGACAGACTCTCTGCTCTTCCTTTCTAGGTCATTAGTGGACACTGCTGACCTTTGTGGACACCACAGACCTTGTTCTGCTGTCCAGGTTTGTCTGGTGTCTCTGAAGACCCAGAGTTTGGGAGCATATCCCACCCACATTTCTAGGTATTTCTGACTGAACTGAGTCCCCATGTGTTGGGAAAGTCTCTTTCTAGATAGTTCACCAAGAAGGTACCAGGTGCCAAATCATCACTTGGCTGGGTTACCAGGGAAATTCTCTTAATGAATTTTAATTGAAACCATGTGCCCACAATGACCACCTTGCTGCTCAACTGAGTGACCACTCCCCAAATGAAGAACCTGCACAAGGTGTGGCATGTTGCCATGGCAATTGTTTCCCCCAATTCGATGCACTTGTGGTTTAGCAGAACATGATTCAATTTGTAATTTAGCAGAATGGTCTTCCCAGGAGAGCTCTCATGGCCACTGGGATATAAACAAAGATAGGAACAAGAAGGACACAAAAGGAAACTGGGGAGTCAGAAGGAGAAGGATGCAGGGTTCTGATATATCAGCCCCATCCTTGGTGCCCTGAGACACACCTGGCATTGAATGGGATCCTGGCACTCCACACAAGGGTGCATCGGATCAGTATGGGGTGAAGAGGGGTCAAGGCCCTGACACCGAGACCATCTACCTCCTTAAGGGGAGCCAAGGCCCCTGTAGAGCTATTTATTGGGCACCTATTACATGCTGATAATGAGGCTAGAGTGATAAACAAGATGGTCGAGGCTCTACTCTCATGGTCCTCAGGATTTTATCTCTGCAGCTTTAGTCCTGAGAGGCCATGAAGAAAGGACAGGGATGGCCAGGTTGATGGCAAAAAATCCTAGGAAGAACTTGAAAATTACATCCCTGAGGGGAGAGAGAGCACGCTCAGGGCAGAGTAGAGCAGAGCAGGGTTAGATATAGTGCCGAGGGAACTGAGACCGTGACCAAAACCAAATAGGGACTTGAGTGTGTGAATCCCAGCCGGGTTCAGAGAATGGCCAAAGATGGCTAAGCTCCAAGAGGGTTTTTAACAAAGTCACGGGTCACACTGGGGCCTCTGCTAGAGTCTGGAGGACCTGCTTTTGGTCTTAGCAGGGCATTTCCTACCCCAGCCTGGGGACAGATAATACATCTGAGATAGACCTGGCAACCTGTGCTTGGCACTCCTGGGGGCAAAGTCTGGGCATGTGGGGAAATAGCTAGCAGGGCACAGAAAGCAGACAGGTTCAGCAGGGGGCTGGGTGGGAGGAGAGGAGCATAAAGGTGTGGTAGTGCTCAGGGTGCATGGTCATCACAGTCCAAAGGACGGGCTTGAGTCAGGACTGGGGCCCTGAGGTTGCCCCTCCCCCATGTGCCCATCTGAAATGCTTGAGAGCCACATCTTCTCAGTTGTCCAGCTGGCCTTCAGTTTCTGTTTGTCATTCACCACTTCCCTTCATGTCACTCTCCCAGACTTTGGCCTTCTTGATGGTGTCCCCCATGTACAGGATGTAGATAAGCACACCAGGGTTGGACTTCCTTGGCTCGACTCCTGGGGAACCCCATGACCACCTGCCCAAGTGTCAGGTTTGCAGGTCATCAACTGCAAGACTTTTCCTGACCCCACTTGAGCCAACAGGAAGGAGTGTGTGGCTCTAGGGAAGAGAATAAGGTGCAGGGACCCAACGGTGAGAAAGCAAGGGCCACTCAGGAGCTGGTCGGGGAGGGACCACTGGGAATGTATGTGCTGGGGGCAGGTTCTACTCCAAACTCAAGACAAGGTTGTGGGGAAGACAAGGCTGAGGCTGGAAAATCCCTTGGGGACCCCAGGAACTGAGCTGAAAGGCATTGAGAGCTGCTGAGCTGGACCTGAGTCCAGGCATCCGGGAGACTACAAGGGAACTCATATTTGGCCGTCTCTCACTTGGCCTCACAGTGTTTTTGTCTCAGTGTTTGCTGGCCCCGAAGGTTCAGGGCAAAACAAGTCAGATAGATGGATGGGAGTGGCCTTCAAGGGGAAGAGCCACAGTGATAAAGACAACTAGAGTCAGGGGACTGTGTTGATGCTCTGAAGAGTGTGCACCTTGCAACCCGCACTGGATCCTCCCTAGGCACGGCACTCCTTGGGTATGGCACTGCAGGAAGTTTCCTTAGCTCCTGCAACAGATAAAGATGGAGTTAGTAAGCCTTGCTCTAAGGAACTTTCGGTTAACTGTTTCCACCTATCCGTCCTGCAGAATCCATAGCAAAGTTGGCGTGAGACATGAGGCTTTTATTCAAGATCTCAAACTTCAAAGAGTTAATTCAGTTTTGGAAACATATAATCAACTCCCAAGAAGAATGTGGCTCCAAGGCTCCTAATAAATGAGGATGATGCTGAGATGCCAACACCCACCAGTCCCCTGAATGTCATCTCTAGCCATCTGCGACTTCATGGCACGTGCTGATTGGTGCAAAGGTGGCGAGAAGCCCAGTGCTGGAGCTGGACTCCACCATAATTCGCTGTGGGATCCTGGGTAGATCACTTCTCCCTAGCCTCGGGGTCTGTCAGCAAAACCCTCGCTGCTCATGTCAAACAGTGTGGGGAAGCTGTGCCTGCTTATGCTTTCGGGACCATTCATCTTCCCTATCAGAGAAACTGAACTTCCCCTAAAGCTCTGGGGCTGGCAGAAGGCTCTCCACACAGCTGCTGATTCTCTCCACAGGGCCTTGAGTGATTAAGGACGGCTGAAAGGAGAACAGAGAAAGGAGAACCAGTTAGAAGCACACTGTGCTCAGAGAACACTTAGCTTCCTCCCCCACCAAGGGCTCAGCACCACAAATTCCCTGCTGTTCCTCTCCAGAGGGGCAGCATGGTAAGAGGGACCTGTGGCTTTCCACTCTGTGGCCTTGGCCGAGTGCCCACCCTTCTCTGAACCTCAGTTTCCCTATCTGTCAAGTGGCACCGTTACAAGATTAAAATAAGAATGTGTGTTAGACATGCACCCCAGCAATGTAACTTCCCCTCCTGGCTTCCCTCCTGCCACCCTACCTCCAAGCAGACTCAGCCACTGCTGTGTTGGTTTCCTGTAAGACAAAGTAGGAATGTGACTCCCCGGGCTATTGTGTGAAATGGTTAATGACTTGACTGTAAAAACACAGAGCTGCCCTTTGAATAAACAGAAATGTGGGTGTTCCAGGTTGTTTCTTTTACAATCTTTTATTTTTTTTTCTAGCAAATTCTGCTACTACTAATTGTGCAGAACCCAGTACAGTATTCAAAATACTTGGAACCAGAAACATTTCAGATTTCAATTTCTTTCTTTCTTTTTATTTTTTAAATTTTTAATTTTTTTTTTAATTTTGGAATGAGATAACTTGGGAATGTGATCCAAGTTTAAACAAGGAATTCAATTATGTTTCACATATATCTTATACCATAGCCTGAAGGTAATTCATAACATTTTTAATAATTTCATGCAGGAAACAAAGTTTCTTGGTGTGGAATTTTCCACTTGTGTTGGCACTGGAAAAGTTTTAAATTTCAGAGCATTTTGGATTTTTGGATTGGGGGTGCTCCACCTATATTTTGGTGAGTTTCAGTGGAGAGGAATAGAAAATAAAACAAAAGAGTTGGGTTAGCTCCAATAAATATAAAAGAAGGAAAAAAAAAAGAAAAACAAAACAAAGCTGAAACTAAATTTATTCTTAGAGATGCCTTTTTTGGCAAGTATTTATTTTAAAACAGCAAGAACTTTCACACACAAACAAACGAGATCTCTTCTACAAAGACTTTAGCTACTCAACCTCAGGAAATCCTATAATTTTTTTTCAAATTTTCTATCCTGACTCAAATCCAATTTCATTTCACTCTAAGAAGAGTTTGCCTTGGGCTGAGGTTGTAGCTCAGTGGTAGAGCGCTTGCCTTGCCCTCGTGGGGCCCTGGGTTTTATCCTTAGCACCACATAAAAATAAATAAATAAAAATAAAGATATTGTGTCCATCTACTATATATATAAAAGAAAAATTTGCCCTCATTCCTATTGAGCAGAATACAAAATTAATTTTCCTATTCTCAATAATACTCAATGAGAAAACAGCCTTACAGTGTTTAAAACAAAATTGTTCAAAAACATTTCAAAATTAGCTTCTACACTGACTATTGGTGACAGAATGATTTTGTTAGTCAAAATCTCCTGACTTAGTTTCTTCAGTACCTAGGAGATCTTTACTACTGAGCTACATCCCTGATCCTTTTTATTGTTGCTGTTTTTGAGATAGGGTCTGGCTAAGTTGCTGAGGTGGCCTGGGACTTGTGTTTATCCTGCCTGAGCCTCCCAAAGTAGACATTCACCCCACGTTTGGACGAAATTACCTGACTTTAGTGATTATCATGTTGATTTTGTATTTCACTAGATTTGACAAGGAGCCACCCATTGGATTAGCCAGCTTCACTTGCTTATTCTTTAGTAGCAGTTTCTGTGCTTTTCCATTGAATAATTTTATTATTATCACTAATATTTCTTATGCCGGGGGATGGAGCCCAGTGTCTCATGCCTGGTAGGCAAGGTGCTCTACCACTGAGCTACAGCCCTAGTCCTTCACAAAATAGTTTTAAATGTTATTTTTGTACCTGAAGCCTTAGTGTCATACTGTAATTGTAGGGAACAGAAATACTGATATAACACTTAACAAAAAATGAAGAGGAACAGGAGAAGAATTAGGTTAAGTGGTTAAGGCCATTGAGGGACAAAAGGACAAGTAGGAACTCCAAACAGACACACACTTGACAGTTTAGGGATCTTTCTGCAGAAACCAAAGCACCTGCGCCACTAAGACTCAACACATTGATATGTGGTCCTCCAGCAAATCCAGGATAGGGAAGGCAAGGGACCCTAGGCATCAGTTTTGAGGGGTGTAATAGGCAGAGCCAGCATCCAATGAAGCTGCAGGGCCCTGAGTTGGAAAACTCAGAACACTGTGCATTAGTCATCTTGAAACCCTTAATGATTTTATCTTTGAGTTTGTGTATGAGGTGAAATCTGATGGGGCAACAGAGAATGTACCAGGGACTTGGAGCCTCCATTCACTAGTCCTGCCTCCTCCTGCCATCTCTGCACCTCCCTCTTCTGCCCACAGCTACCACCCAGTGACTGTACCCACTCCAGCTGGGTTCTGGGCCCAGCCTAGGATAGGTCAGGGTTGGGCATGTGAGCCACGTGATGGGGCAGGCCTCACGCACTGAGGGTCTGCACTCAAGCTATACATAACTCTGTGCCCGAGGAAGCACAAAATTAAAAAACAAATTTAAGAACCCATTACAGGTGGAGAAAGAGACTGGAAAACAGGTCATATTTTTTTTCCTGCTTTGGGAACTATGGACCCCATGCTTTTACTGGCATTGGGTCTCACAAGTTATATAGCTAGCCCTGGTAGGAGGTACACCTCAGGGAGAGAGCTCCAGTCCTGGAAAGGTTGGAAATAGCCACATTGTGGAGCATGGGGATATCTCCTAGCAGGGTTCCAGCAGGAAGACTTATAGCACCGAGCTCAGGCAAGGCTGGAACCAGGCACTGGAGTCTGCATGGTTTCCACAATCTATGTGGGGTATTTTGGCAGCAAGACATGACCTGGGAACAAAGTAAGCGAAATGGGAGGCTGGATGGCAGCAGGTGAGACTTGTGCCTTTTCCTTTTATTTACGGTATTGTAGACTATGATGCTCACTAGTTGGAACACACACTGGTATAACTTTTGGAAAGCAAATTTTGCATTAACTAGTAAAGTTCAAGATAGACACAGACCTAGAGAAATTCCTGTGTGTGCACAGGAGGCAGGCATGAGAGTGGTATAGCAGCACTGTGGGACATATTCCTCAACTGGGAACAATCTTCATGTTCATCAGAAGGAGAACAGACACAGTAGTGTATCCATGCAATGGGATACCATTGAGCACTGTAGACAAATGAATCAGATAGGTGGAGACATGGAAGACTCTGAAATATAACATGGAACAATCCAGTGAACATAGCCTCTACAAGCCTCAGTTCTAGGCCTTTCAAGTTGATTGAATCTTGGAACAGGGAAGAAGCTGGCTTCATATAGGAAAATGGGAGACCGATGAGACCCGCTTGCATTCAGTTTACACGGGCCCAATGCCTGAATTTCCACTGTTAGAAATAAATTCCTCTGCCAGGCATGGTAGCTTGTGCCTATAATCCCAGAGGCTCTGAAGCCTGAAGCAGGAGGATCACAAGTTCAAATCCAGCCTCAGCAACTTAGCAAGGCTCTAAGCAATTTGGCAAGACCCTGTCTCAAAAATAAAAAATAAAAAGGGCTGGGGATGTGGCTCAGTGGTTGAGTGTCCCTGGCTTCATCCCTGGTAAGAAAGGAAGGAAGGAAGGAATGAAGGAAGGAATGAAGGAAGGAAGGAAGGAAGGAAGGAAGGAAGGAAGGAAGGAAGAATTATATTGCTTTGGGTCAACACTTTGATTTTCTCTTGAAAATCAAAAAGACCCAGTGGTTTCTGACTGCAAAGCTCCATTGGACAGTCACTGGCAACAGTCCAAACATTTTACATAAATGCTTTTCGGGAAAAAGTTGATGGGCAGGAAGGCTAAGCAGCACAATCAAAGAAAAACTCAGGGGCATACCAATACTTAAGTATTGATCAGATAATTTAAGGTCCTGATGCTGAAAAGCCTCAGGAGACAAGAAAAGCCAATGAAATCACAACAGTTTTAAGGAGGCATTATAGAAATTGGTCAAATACTGGGACGTAGGTTCATTCAAGTGAAGATTTAAAAGATGTCATTTAATAATTTGACACTTAGGAACTTAGGAAGTCATTGGTTGGAGTGGGGGTGTAGTTCAGTGGTGAAGTGCATGGCTCTGGGTCTAATCCTCAGCGCAAAGGAGAAAGAAGGAGGAGGAGGAGGAAGGGAAGAAGGAGAAGACAGTGTAGTTGGAGATCTTCCAGAGGCAGTCAGTTTTGGTAGGATCCAGCCTTGGTGGAAAATAAAAGAAGATGAGGAAAAGGAAGCAAAATGTGGTTTCTTTACTAGAAGTTTGTCAAGGACAATGTGGGAGTTTCAAGAGGAAACAAGAAAAAGATAAGATTTTCCAGAATGGGAAAGAATTATGCATATAGGGTGAAGGAAAGGAACAGGACACAAGGGATGGATTGGTGGATCAGAGAATCAGAGGAGGAGGAGTGATTTATTGAACTGGATCTTGGAAGAGGCAAGTGAGAGTGGGCAGGAGAGTCCAGGAGGAGGGTTAGTCTTGGAAATGCCTTGTGGATCCTGCTAGAGGCAAAGGAGAGAATGGCTTCAGCTGATTTGATTCACTCTGGGGAGTAGGGGGAGGGGGCGGAAATTAAGGCTACTGGAGAGAGAGACAGTTAAGATCATTGGAGACAGGTAGGCTGGACAATTTGAGGAGAGCTGGACAAGCAGGAAACAGCCAACGTAGGGAATAGAATCAGAGTTCAGTCAGTTGTGAATAAAAGGACTGGCAAAGATTCTGGCTGCCTTGGAAACCTTCTCTCTGCAGTGGCGCTGATTCTCTTTTGTCCCAGTAGAGAGTGACAGCCCCAAAGCCCCATGGACAGGTGTGGAAGGAGGGATTATTCCAAGTTGAGGTAGGCAGAGAAGGGTATAGGGTGTAGATCTGGTTGGACAGCAGCTCTGAGAACAGCAGGGGTTAGCAGGTAAAAGAGACTTTTCCAATTTTATTTTTAAAGATCATAATCTGTGGGAACTTAAAAGAGAGTAAATAGAAAAGCCATTTGAATGGCTGGAGTTGATGCTTTCAACATTGAAGTAGAAACCCCACCTTGCTCTGAGTCAGAGTCAAGTGCTTCTGTGAGCATAGGACCTTGCAGTTCTCGGCCTTGTGTCTGCCCCACAAGCCCAAAGGTAACAAGGGCGTGAGATTCTTGTCTTCAATTCCCACCCCACCGCACAAAGGTGACTGGTGCTGCCAGAGCTTAGGAAGAAAAGCTTAAAAGTTTCTACAATGGGCTGTTTTGGTCAAATTAATAACTTATTGGAAAGTTGACTGGATTGGAAACCATTATTTC